CTCAATATTTCGGCCGGATATGCTAGAGAGATGTGCATATAAGAGAGCACAGACAACACCAGAACACTGGGGTCATCGCAACGTCTTGCCCATCCACTCACTACAGATTCTTAGATGCTTGCCTCACCATATATTATCACCGCATATTAGTCGGTAGCATGAGTCGTTGTCCAGTCGTCGCACAACGTTCATGGTGAACACCCACCACCTAACCAATGATATTTTTCTCACGCCGCCTGGGCTCTCTTACAAGCAATGTTATCTCTACCGAAAAAATGGGTTGGAACATACAGTGCAAAATACGGTACTTCTGAAGCTCTCATGAAGATCATACAAGCTGCCCTACCATCTGCACACTTTTTTTTCAAAAGCTCTCCTTCACATGGACACAAACTCGAACCTTTGCTCGATCTTCTGCAAAGTCGTCTCTTGATCTTTGGGCTTTTCCACTCTCATTGGAGGGACCATCGGGGTGAAACTCGGTGGAGATGGTTCACTTCGAAATGCCAGCTCCGGCTTCATCAATCGTATGACAATTATGCACGAATTACCATTGTAATCACAGGCTTGTAATGAGTCCTGCAAAGAAATAAATAAAGTGCGGTGACGCATTCTGGAAAATTCTCAGTTTACCTGGATCGCTTTCGCAGCCACTTGAGGATTGATGGAGCTCGTGAGTATGGATGCGATTTGGCCAGAACTCAGATATTCCCACATCGCCCAGCTGGCTATGATCACACAGTCTGTATCACGAGTGATTGGAATCGATTTATTGATTGGTCTAGGGGTGATGACAGGATGAAGACTGTAGAAACCAAGCTGATGGCAGTTCGGTGTAACACCATTGATAATGTTGCACTGAAATCTGGTAAAGCATGATACAGAGCACATGAAAACATAAGAAATAGACTGTAAAATGTAAATAAAATAATTAAAAATAAGCAATGAAGAGTGCTCACCTCGTCGACCGTACCTCCAGCAGATCGTATTCGATCGTACTCGTCTTCATCAAGCTCACCAGTTTCCGTAAGTTTCTCCAAATGCCCGCCAGTCATCACAGCAGCCGTAACATTTCCCACATAGGAAATTCTAAGATGACTCGATCCCAGGTGAACTAGCAGGCAGCCGAAAAAGTGAAGTTATCGTAGACTGAGCGCCCCGATAGGGTCATTAAGCCTATACAGGTGGAATTCGAAATGTTCGAAGAGTAAAACCCGTTGAAAAAAAGGAAATATTGGCTCACTCACTGGCCCCTAGTCGCTCTCCGGCTTCTTCCAAGGATTCATGCGCTTTCAGGAGAATCGCTGGAAGATTGTTCTGATGCTCCTAAACATCTTCAATTCGGGAATTCACGGATAACTTTTCATGACACGTAGAGAGGATTGTGAGAACAACAAGAGGTAAAGCTGGGCCAGTGACCAATCTCCTCCTTTCAACGCGTGAATTGATAACATCCCTATCAAGGAGGCGAAGATTCCAGAAAGGAGAATAGCACTAATTTTAGTATTTTTCTGATAATTTCCTCACGGTCACACACACACCAGTATATATTCCATCTCCACCCTCAGTGACGGGCAACCATAAATGTTATTTGGGAGTGTGCAGAGAATAATGAGTAGACATAAAATAACCTACCGAATTAAGCAATAATTGGTTCAGAACAGTTTGAATTGTTTTCGGAAGTTCATAGTTGGACGAACCATCCACCATGCCGAAAATATCGCCGCAATGGATCCGACGAATACATAGTCTAAAAGTGAAAGTATCTCAGGTTAGTTACAATTTTGGATCATTTTATAATACAAAGAACTTCACATCTCCTTTAATGGCTCAGGGAGCCTTGTTTATACGCATTTCCAACAGTTTCACCAAGATGTACAAGATAGTAGGGGAAAATCGGTCACGACATCAAATAATGAGTGTTCAAATGGTCTATTCCTAAGCAAAGACTTCCCAAACCAATCAACCAAACCAATCGAACTTTTCCGTCCCTCTATTGAGACTACTCCATTTTGGATCTGTGGGGTGTCTCACCTTGTTTCTCTTGATGTCGTAACCTCAGTTCATTCTTATGCACACCAACCCATCGAGAAAGACTCATGTGCAAAACAGAATTTCGTCACGTTCTGTGGAGGAGGTACTCACTCACTAGGTGCAAGAAAGCTGCGAACAGTAGGCGCAGTGCGAACACAATGCCTTTTGTGCAGTAAAACAATTCGTTTTTGTAAACTTCTCACTTGTTGCGATTTCCCGACGTCTCCGAAAATCCCACTTGAACTCGATCTTGTGATTGAGCTCCGATATCGTACAATGCCACTGGTTTTTTGTGAGTTCGCCTGAAATATACCACCAATCGACGCGATAGACAAAAAAGTAGCCCTTGGGAGTGAAACGGATGCTCCTTTAAGCATGCCCACCTTAACGTTCCGGAATTCAGATTGAGAGCAGGATTGCACGTGAGGTCCAGTTGCTTCAATGCTGGTCCGGTGGCTATAGAGCTTGTGTGAGCTCCGAGAGCATTGTTTGATATGTCGACGGTCTGCAAACTTCCATTTCAGAGATTCTTTGGAAGTTTCATATATTCGGCACCTTTCCAATTCTTGGTAAAGGTTTCGATTCCATCCCATACAAAAGTCTTTGAGGTTTGAATTCGTATCTAGTTATACGGTGAGTTTTCGGATCAAAAAATGTAATGAATACTTCCTCAAATAACCTCACACTTCATGCGACTTGTTACCTGGAGCGTAGGCGAGACGGACAAATCAGGGATAGCTTTGATCCGATTCGAGTGAGCTTTGAAAATCTGCAAGGCAGGGAGATCGAAGATTGAGGACGACAATGTAGTGAGTTCGTTGGAGCTGAGATTTAACTCTTCTAACATGGTAAGTGAGCCGAGAGCACTGAAATCGAAGCGCTTCAGCTATTAACTCTCGATTAGGAGAAGGATCGAACTTGAGTGAGGCAATGGTACTAAATCGAGATACATAGAGTGAGTAAGGTAGTAAGTAACCTGTCATCGAAATATCTCAATCTGTTATGGGAGAGGTCGAGTATTTTGAGCTTTCTCATCTTCATCAGTATCGGCACGATCGATTCATCTAATCGATTATGGCTGAGACGGAGGGTATTGATCCGGTTCCGGTCATGGTGAGCATTAACAGCTGGTAAACCAGTTAGACGATTGAATGAGACATTTAGATGGCGAAGTCTGAAGAAGACTTGTATATTGATACACTACTAACAATCATTCATTACTGCATTCCAATCAGCCGTATAGAACGAACAAGGCAAAGGTCCAAGGGATAAAAATTCTTGGCGCTGATTAATCCCATTTGGGATGTTCCCAATCGCTCCAGTCTCAATCATAGTTGTAGCGCATTTGAATGCGTACTAGCCTATGCACTGACTTGCTGAGCCTAATTGGGGTAACCACCCTCTAAAAGACCAGACCCCTTACGGATGGGAATTCAGTCTCACGTTATCAAGTGGGATCCGATCCACGGACCATGTGCATGGCAGTGCTTCACCTCGCTCTAGCCTGCGAGGTTTCATAAACACTGAAGCAAGTATTGAGTGCAAGGATTTCAGTTCTCGAAATAAGTAGAAGGTAGGTTGGAACAGCTGATCAGCTGTTTGGAACAGCTGAGGGTAGCAGACAAAATTTCTTCACGATAGTCCCCCAC